CCTCAGCCCGGTATGGAATTGTAAAATGTAAATTTTGTTTGCTTGAAAGAAAAATAAAATTTTCCAATTTTTTTCATATTTGATTGTTTTCGATGGAAAACGAGTAATTTACATAATTATAGGACATTAGTACCTAAATAGAAAACCTAATAATGCTAAATGGTGACAGATTCAAGAAACAGTCACTTACATCAAACCATTTTCGAGAGAAAAAATTAAACGAAATTTCTACTTTTTCCTTCTTGGTTGCTTCTCCTTTACTTGGATTTGACCGGATTTGTTTTCGCAATTCGTTCTCATCCTCAGAAAAAATGATTAAGAAGTTTTCACAACTCATTTGAAGTTTCCATTAACAAGTATGCAAAAAGTTTTGAAAAAATTATCCCTAATGGCGAAAATACTTTTCATACAATTATCATATATGGAAATTGTATGGCAAGCATTTTTTGTAAAAATTTTTTTTTAAAGTTAGTTTTTTCCGTTACCAGTCTGTTGAACTGTTTTCAGAAGCCCTCAGAAATTGTTTAATTTTTAATTGCTATTGATTTTAGAAACTGTATGAAAATTGTATGGTATGCATTTTCTCCATACACTTGATGTATGGAATTGTATGATAATGATTTTTGTTGTATGGAATTGTATGATAAGCATTTTTGGTGTATGGAGGTCAACCCGGGTACTTTGCTTGTAAAGAATTTCGTGGTTAATACGGATAATTTCTGTTATAAGGACCAAATTGATCTTCTTTGTATTTTAAAAATGCTAATTGTTCAATCTCACTGACTGATATTACTTGCTTCTGAACAAAGTCTCCTCTAAACTTTCAACTGAAGCTGATATTGAGTGTTTTGATAAAAATAAGCATTTTACAGAAAATACATGCAAATTTTTGTTTCTGTCAATAAGAGCGGACAACAAGCAAAAATTAGAAGCGTGAAAAATGTCCAAAGTTCAGGTATTCTCACTGTAATTGGTCATAATTATTGGCAATAATTGAAATAAAGCTTTACTCGCAAACACAAGAATGTAGGCTCTAAACTTTTTTTATATACTTTTTTCTAGTGTGATTACGATGAAAACAAAATTTATGAGATATTTTTCATTTAAATCAGGTTAAACAGTGACTCATCAATAGTTTGGTGCTTACTTGATGGGTTATTAGAGATATTTTTCAGTTTAAACTGAGCAAGAATATTCCCGCACTGACAAAATTGGATTTTTTGATTTGTTACGAAGATTTATGCTTAAACCCATCGGAAATATATATTTTTAAACACTAAAACCGATATGCTCATCTACATAGATTTTAGTGAAAAGGAAACTCATCTAAATTGATTTAAATTGATTTATTAGATAATTGATGTACCTAAATCCTTGAATGTACCTGAATGTACCCGATACTTGAATGTACCCGATACTTGAATGTACCCGATACTTGAAGAAATCCTTGAATGTACCCGATACTTGAATGTACCTAAATCCATTTCAGATTATAAAATGTACATTGAGTTGATTTGGATCGATTGCAGCGCGAGTTCTTTTTAATTTCACCCCTCAACTTTTCGTAATCCAAAGCAATCATGTACCTCTACTGCATCACATCTTGCTATAATTTGAATAGTGTGAAGTTTTAAGTAAATTACTGGTTATGTAACTTTTACTTATTTATAATCAATGATCTGGTGCAAAAAACCAGAAAATCGTTTGAATAATTGAACCTATATATGGATAAATGGATGAATTAGACGTGTGTTAGCTCTCTCTGTTGCATTTTCAAACATTTGCTGTAGAAGAATGTTCGAGCAGAACTGATTTTCTCTGCGACGTCAACCAAGGGCATTTATATTGATAACAAGGCTGCTCGTATCACTGCGAAGCCTTGAGTGTTGCTAGTCCCTTAAAGATATAAGCAGTAGTGTTCGCTATTAAAAAATAATGACGATTTCAAAAAAGAGAAAGTTAAAAAAAAACTTTTGAGATTTTTTTAAATAACCATTCCCCACACGCTATGTAAGGAACAAGATGATATCTTTTGCGTGTAGCAAAGCAGTAAATAAACTTGACTTAATAGCATGCGAAAAATGGTGACTTTGCGAAAAATGATCACAAGCAAAATATCGTTTTAAATTTGAGTCCAGAACAACAATACCTTTTGAATGATGTTAATTTCGTCAAAAATAGCTAGTTGAAAAATCAAAACTTGTCTGGAGAGAAAAATCATCCCGAGCACAAATATTTTGTCACTTTCTTTGAAAGTCGGAACAATAAACGTTTAAGAAGTAAATTATTTTGATAAGCAATCTAAAAAAACCTCACTTCATTATACAATTAACTGATTACGCTAAACAACATTTACTCTGAAAGATAAATGAGGAAACACCTGGAGCCATATGAGAAAAATTATAATTATCCTTGTCAAAAAAAATAAACAGTTTGTTGCAAAGGTGTTTTCAAAGTTGTTTTGACTATTTTCGAAGAAGATGATGAAATATTTGCCTCGGGTGATTTTTCAGCGGATAGCGGATTTATTTAAAGTTTTCTACAAATCGATACAAGTTGGATTGAGGCATGCTCTTTGGTATATTTATTATTCGTATTTGTAAAAAAAAATCATTTTGTGGTTCCCATTGCGTATGGGAAGATTTTCAAAAAAAACTCAAAAAAGTTTGGGTCTTTTTTCTTTGTCTTTGAAATTTTCATCAATTACTTTACTTTAAGCTATCCCATAGAAAAAATACAGTCAGAACATTCAGGGCTTCGCGTTGATACGAGCTGTCTTGTTCAAGCATGTTTTCAATTTTTCCGGCCATCGAAAAATAAATGCTGCTCAGAGAAACGGTTTTCATCAAAAAAGATTGTGCTTGTGAATCTCAATTGAGTCTTAACTAAGAAACGTTCCAATTGCATACAGTTGATTATTAAAATAATTTGGCAAAAAATCTTTGTGTGCTTTACAACTCTAATTAATTATGGTTTCAGGTTTTTTCTGTCCTGCTATTCAAAAAATAAATTCAGTTTTGCAGGGATTGAAAAATAATTGCTGCTCAGAGAAATGGCTTTCATCGAGATTTGTCCTCCTGAAAGTTAAATGGTTTTTAATTAACAAAACGATTTTAATGTCTCCATTTTTGTGAAAACAATTTGACAAAAAAATGTGTGGCTGATAGGTTTAATTATCAACAATTTTTAGTGAGCGGTATTTCTTAAATAACATTTAGCTGATGAAATTGATTGAAACCTATTTTCTTGATTTCTTTTCTCTCTCTCTCTCTCTCTCTCTCTCGCTGAATTATTTTTTTGTTGTTGAAAAAGAAGAAGGGCTCTGAGCAAAGCTCCAAGATCTTGTTTTTAAAAGTTCAGTTAATGAATTGAAAGACAACGGATGTCTTTTCACTTATGCCTATAAACACTTCTGATTGTTGATTGCGTGTACGGTGTATTTCGTTTTCTATATTAGTGTTTCTTTCTTAGAGCTGCTTTCCTCGCGTGCGCCTCATTTGGAATTTTTCCTAAAATTTCCATTTTGTATAGCATATCAAAAAAATGAAAAGTATTCAAACAAACAGCTCGGGATTTTTTTGGAAAAAAATCCGTATACTTATTAATCGAGATTATATAAAGGTAACAAACTCGGATGACTGAAAAAACCTTCAAAAAAGCAAAAACTCTAGTAATTAGATTGGACAATTAATATAATAAAGTAGTTTCCAATTTCTTACATTATGTACACCAATTGGCAAGGCGGACAAAGGGCAGTAAGCTTGTAGAAGACGCCTCAAGAGCAAAACTAAATTAGCAAATTTCTGTGTAGCGCTAGGGCTTACCGAGAATCGTTTTCAGTGGGGTAGTAATTAAATCTAACTTCTTTTAGTTTTCACCAGAAAAACTCGCACATAATAATGGCGTCTAATTGGTACAATTCTAGAAATTTATGAATTAATTTTGTCGATTCTTTTTCGTTCAATTGTAAAGCTTCCATTATGAAACTTTCATCATTACTAGAATTTAAAAAAACTCTATTTTTGGAAGCATTGCTCTTAACTTAGATAAGGTCCCTTTTTCTATCATTCGCAAACGTTTGTTCGGGTTTTCTGTCTGAAACATTGATCTATTTCTGCATTCAATTTTACGCTACTGACGTTGGATCAGGGATGATTGTTTTAATTACTTTCGTCAGTTTTAGTTAAATCGTGAAACTTAAGTCGTTGTTTGAGTAGAGCTTGGGAACGTATTAATCTTCTCGAACTATCTATTCTTTTTAGGTTTATCAACAACGCGCAAAAAGCAATTTTGCGAATTTTCTATTTTTTTCAAACCGTTTTTATTTCCCTATCCGTATAGTTCAATTTGGTTTTGCATTACTGCTTCCACGTATGCTTTAAAATCTCTTACTTAGTTTTTGTTTGAAAAACATTCTGTAAGGATAAACTTTGGCCGTGAGCATTGATAATTTTATATTAGGTTGAAAACTATGTTGCTTGTAACTCAGCTTCTAGTCGAAAACTACACCAATGATTTTCAATTCTTCATTGTTTTCTTGCTAATGACCTTCTAGGTGGATTCAAGAAAATGGGTGTTTGCTACCAAAAAAAGACTTTGCCTTTTACACTACTGATTGTCGATTGCGTGTACGGCGTATTTAATTTTCTATATTAGTGTTTCTTTCTTGGAGCTGTTTTCCTCGCGTGCGCCTCATTTGGGATTTTTCCTAAAATTTACATTTTATATAGCATATGAAAAAAATGAAAAGTATTCAAACAAACTGCTCGGGATTTTGTTGTGAAAAAAATCCGTATACGTATTAATCGAGATTATATAAAGGTAACAAACTCGGATGGCTGAAAAAACCTTCAAAAAAGCAAAAACTCTAGTAATTAGATTAGACAATAAATATAATAAAATAGTTTCCAGTTTCTTACATAATGTACACCATTATATTTCCCTATCCGTATAGTTCAATTTGATTTTGCATTAATGTTTCCACGTATGCTTTAAAATCTCTTATTAAATTTTTTTTTTGAAAAACATTCTGTAGTGATAAACTTTAGCCGTGAGCATTGGTAATTTTATATTAGGTTGAAAACTATGTTGCTTGTAACTCAGCTTCTACTCTAAAACTACACCAATGATTTTCAATTCTTCACTGTTTTCTTGCTAATGACCTTCTAGGTGGATTCAAAAAAATGGGTGTTTGCTACCAAAAAAAAAGAACTTTGCCTTTTAAAAAACTATGTTTGAGCCTAATTTTTTAAAATCATTTCTGTTTATTTTTCTGCAAACCTTGATTAATTTATATAAAAATTTTCGGTAACAGACTTAAAAACACTAATTTTGGCTGTATATATAAAGTGACAGGACCGCTTGAACCCACATTAGTCTGTTCATTGACAAAAAACTGAAAAGCAAGAGCCCCAAAAACGATCCCTTTGGAACTCCACCAATGAGTTGTTAATTTGCTTCAGTAATTTAAGGTAGGTAGTCACAGAGATCGCAACAAACTTTTACCATTTGAAACTGATTTATGCTGTTCACTATTTTGATTCAGGTGTTTAATTTTCTTTTCAAGTTTGCTATATACTGTTAGAAATTATATTTGTTGTTAACTTGTACTTTTTCAATTTTTTTTTGGAAAAAAAAACCAACTCTCAGCTAAATTATACTAAGGTCTGGCGTCCAATTTAGTATAACTTAAAATGCGCATTCAAAATTTGTGAAAAAAGTCGGGTTTATCTAAGTTTTTGACTCGGTTGCTTCTGGCGTTGGATTCTCTGTCGACGAATTTTAATTTTTAAAGTATTGCAAGACTTCTGGCCACTATTAATGTTTTCATTCATATCATGTTTTCTGCCGATTCACAACTAATGCTTGATCACCATATGCCGTGTTAAAAAACTGTTTTCTGAACAAAATTATAATTCTCTGCAATGACATTTATATCTGATCTGTAGAAAACAGTTATTTTTAGAAACTATTTTGGAGTTTTTGTTCTTATTTGTAAAATTTAATGTTTTTGTGAATTCTGACCCCATTTCATAGCTCAAGTTGTTTTTTATGTAGAATGTTACATCTCCTGCTCTCATTTTGCGGTTACTCGTTTTAAAATCATTTTGACCATTCAGACTGTATAACTTCTCTTTATTACGTTCATTGCACCAAGTCACCAAGGCAAAACAAAAAAAAACTTATTTTCTTTCATGAACAAAATATTCCAGTTTGCACAAGCTACTATTAGTTGATTTGATATTTTGCAAAAACATTCGTAAACAATCGGCATACTTTGGTTTAGTTTGACAAAAATGATGCATCATGCAAGTTCTGACTGACAAACAAAGACCAAATAATTGACTTCTTTTCTTGAAATTTTTTCAGGGAAATGCTTAGTTAGTTGTTCAAACACAAACTATCATACTTTCATGTTATGATTATCAGCATTTCAGTTTCCATTTTTAGCTTTTAATGGCACAAGGAAATTGTAATAGTTGGTCGCGAAAATTGCAAAACCTTAACTATTTGAAAATGACTCAAACTGTTCACTATTTTGAATCAGGACTAGTTCAGTTTCAGACAATTGCGGAATTTGCAGCAAACCTTTCCTCCAAAACTGTTTTGGTTCGAATTTCTTTTTTTTCTACAAAATCTTATATCAAATCTTCTGTTGATTTTAGCTCTATAACCAAATTGAATTATTATTGATGATGTTATTATGTTTTCTCTTGACAAATTTTCCTACTCTGATACAAATAAAAACTTGAGTAATTTTGATACATTTTTTATTAAGAGCACCTACAGATCACCTTTTTTATTATTGAAAACCTGAAAAGTTGTTCACAAAAGGTTGTTAAAAAAATAGGTGATCTGTAGAAATCGTTATCACTTATAACTTTTTGCCAGTTTCTATTCTCATTGATAAAACAAAAACTATATAAACCTTCATTCGTATGTTCATTGCACGACATTTTTGATGAAGCAAATGATAAGTTTTTCTCTGCGCCTAATAAGTATATTTCCAGAAGCCAAGAATTAGTATGCAGTGATTTGATATTTTGTTAAATCGATTTGTTTTGGTTTAGTTTGAGAAAAATGATTTATCGGCAATCTCTGACTGTCAAAAAACGAGACTAGTAAAATGGTATTTCATTTCCTCAAAAAATCTCACATCAGTTTTTTCTTCTAGATTTTTTAAAAATTCTTTATTTTTTTTTCATGTTAAGATTATCAGAGTTTCAGTTTGCATTTTTTAATGCCATCACGTCATTTGTGGTAGATGGTCGCGGAACTTTCAACATTTATTAATGTTTGGAAAATAATTTTTTCTACTTAAAAATTTGAATCAGAACTGGCTCAGTTTTCGACAACCGCGCAAGCCGCAGCAAGTCATTCCTCTTAAATTTGTTGTGATTTAAATTTCTTGTTCTTTCTAAGAGTAGTTCCTCCATTTTTTTTTGTGAAATTTTTTGAAATATCTACAAAAGCGCATGCTACAATCTTGTTATTCGTGAATCAATTTCACACGTTTTCTACCACATCTTTTTTCGCATCTGCTGATTTTTTGTAGCCAAATTGATGCGGTGTTATTTTATTTTCTCTTGGAAAATTTGTTATAATGATAGAAATTATTTCTCGAAGCAAATGAAAATGGCATTCAGTTTCCAAAATCAGCTTTAACTCCAACTTCATGTCTTTAGACAACTTTGGCAATTTTTAGTGCTTCAAGAAAATTATTATTCGAAAAACAACAATTGTATAAAACTGTTAAACTTTTGCATGCTGAATTTTAAGTTTTCAAAATAAAATTACTTAATTTTTTTTCCTGCTAAATTTCTGATTTAGTTGAACTCTTCTTGACTGCCAGTTGGTTTGAGTACAAAAACTTCGTGTGTGGTTTCGATAGATTTATTAATAAAAGCAGCTTTCATTTGTTGAGATAGACATAATTTCTCAAAAAATCATTCAATGATCCCAGTTTCAACTCAACAAAGGTGAGTCAAGTTGATCAGTCTTCATCTTCGGATAGTTGTATAACTAATCTGATTTGTTTTATGGCTTAGTCTTCTTTCATAGTGCTGTCAATTTTTTCACTACTGTCAATTTCTTTTCAAAATTTTGCGTAAATTGTCATGCAGCAACTGTTTTTAATAGGAAGATACTTTTGCACAAGTACTCCATAGTTTTGGTTGCTATGTTTTTTGCAGTAGTATTCGCTCAATCCTTCTGAAAATAAATTGTTCGGTCTTCTTTTCTGGTAACTTTAATATCTAGCGCTGCGTTCATCAGTTTTTGCGGGCAAGTTATCCAAAAATTCATCAAAAAGTGTTCTCATTTTTTTCAGATAAACTCATTCGATTACTTTAAATAATTTTTTTTTGGAAATTAAAATCAACTTTTGAGATCTATTCCATGGTGGTCTGTCAACTCCATCACTACATTTGAATTACTCTTTCATAAACTGTGAAAACTTGTCAATCTAAGTTTTTCTATCGCTGATTCTTGTGGTAGATTTTTCGTTAAGCGACTCAAGACTCTTCAATTAGGTAGCAATGAAAAACTTCCTGCAATTATTGGTGTTTTATTCAAATCAATTATCTATGTCACTACATAAAAGACCCTACAATGCAAATGGCCGTTCCAAAAAAATCTGTTCTTTAAAAATATTTCATGATTCTCAATGACAATATAAATATAGGCGGTCTGTAAAAAAAGTTATGATTATTAGCTCTTTGACAATTAGCATTGTTAAATTTTGTAGATGAGTTTTTGTTAGATTCTTCACTATTTCAAAGGTCAAGTATTCTTTTTTGTACAATGCTATAACTCCTACTCTCTTGCTGCGATTACATTTTAATAAAACTTTTCCACCATTCAGACTACAACAATTCTGATTCGTGTCTTCCTTGCCCAAAATTTGTAAATTTGTAAAAACCAATTTGTAAATTTTTTTCCGGCGTTCTTATAAATATAATTTCAGCACGCAAAAGTTAGTATGCAGTGATCTGATGTTTTGGAAATGAACTTTTTTTTTACATCAACCCGCTTGATTCGGTTTAAATTGACAAAAAATTATATTTCAAGCATGTAGCGTCTGTCAAAAATTGACAAATTTTGTTCGTATTGTTTTCCAAAAACTTTTTCATAAAACTGCTTACTTTTTTTAACTTTACTAATTTTTGAAATCTTCTTTTTTATACGCTAAGGTTATTTGCATTCCATTTTACATTTTAAAATCATCACGTAATTTGTGATTAGGGGTCGCAAATGTCGCAAAATTTCTTTACTTTTTGGCAACGAATTTTGCTGTTTACTATTCTGAATCAGACCTAGTTTAGCTTTAAACAGTCTCGGAAGTAGCAAAAAATCAACCCTCTGAAAATTGCTGCGGTTCAAACTTCAAGAAATATAACATCAAATGCTTTTGACTGACCTACAAGTGGATATTTCTCTTTAATTGTACATATAAATTTTTAACATTTCAAGTCTAACCCTAATATCTAATATCGCATCTACGATTGACTTCTTACTTCAACAGCCCAATTGATGCGTTATTATATTTTTTGTGACAGTTTTTTTTCCGATACACAATTTTATCTTGGAATTTTGCGTATAACAGGTCGCAAGGAAACCAGTCTGTAATTATCACAAACAATTTTTGCTTCATCTTTGTACGTTGGGTCAACTTCAGCTATTTTAGTGCATCAACAAAAATAATACTTTACAAACTTCGACTGTAAAAAAGTGTTGAATATACGCATGCTGCCGAATTTCTAATAATCGAAATAAAACCATCTATTTGATTTTTTCAAGGATAATTTATTTCAATTTGAGTTTTTGAATTACTTGAAACTTTCTTGACTACCAGTTAGTTTTAGTACAAAAAAGTAGTTTTGATAGAATTTTTTTTAAAGCACATTTCATATGTTTTGAAAGGATTTGGCACTTGTTCAGAAACAAAATCATTCGAAGAATGCACTGTCATATCAGCATCAGTAAGTTGATTTGATCCATCTAGATTTTTG